TCGCGCGGGTACCTGGGCGCGCTCAGCTAGTTGCACTCGATGCCCCGCGCGTCAATTTATGTGAGGTCATGAGATTCTCTACATGATGACAGATCAAGTCCAGCTGCGCGGGCGCCGCGCGGATCTCGCGCTCCAGTAAAACACCCGTTTCGGGGGTTTGAGGGCAACCGGGTCGACGCAGCATCTGGAGATACTTGCGCCTCAAGAAAGACCCTGTGCAAAAGTGCCCATAGATGCGGTCGATATCTTGGCGTTCGTAGCTGCGCCCTGCCCCTGAACCATAAATTTGAATCATCAGCCCGGCGGCCCCCGATGCCCCCGCGACGTCTTCGCGCCGTTCCGCGCGATCCCCAGCGAAGATTGCCAGCGCGTTGGCACCGCGCTCGTCGGGCATCTCCCCGCGGATGCGCGCTCGCACTTCCGCTGCGAATCCCCAGCTCGCGGTCGCCAACGCGACCGTGTGTCCGGCGTGCAAGTCGCCAATCATGCAAGTGGGCGTGCCATCGTGGCCGGCCGCGTGTCGCATGCATCTCGCGGCGTATTCCTGCCCGGCTGGATCGCGACACTTGGGTTGTCTGGTCTCTTGGCGCCAGCGAGTGCAGGCGCGCCATGCGCGCCCGGATATGCTGCGCCACCTCCTGGGATGGCGGCGCCGCCGTGACGGCTGCGCGCAGCCAACCCATGAGGGCAGCGTTGCCGCCCGAACTCCTCGTGGTACTGTCCACCAAATCAGATGCCCATTAACATTCCCTGGCCCCAGCACTGCGATCGGCGAGAAGACGCAAAGAAGCATCATATCCCATCGCAAAGAAATGACCCACGCTGGCGCGCAGAGTTGATGCGCCCATTGTCGTAGAAAGACAATGCCGGAAAACGCCGCGCACCCCGTCGGCCCGCAATACATCAGGGGGCCCTGCAAACGTCGAAGAAAATCGAACTGGACGCGCAGGGCTGCTCCAAGGGCAAGGTGAAGATCGCCGCGGTCGCCGGGGCAAGAGTTCGCAAGGACGCCGGCTTCCCTGAGAATCCGCGCAACTTCTGCGACCAGTGCGTGCGTTGAGAACACGAGAACAACCGTTTGACTTGAGCCATTGAGCTTGCTTTCCATATGCTCTACGATCACGGTCGTCTTCCGCCCGCCCCAGGCAGCGCGAGGGGGCGCAAGCCGAGCGCCTCCCGAGACAGCCCGATAGACATCTCCCTCCTGGAACGGCGTTTCTTGTTGCCGCGCGAGGTGATTCGGCGCGGATGCAGTGGAGTCCGCCGGGCCGTGCTCGTCCATGGTGTTGCCGCAGTGCCTCCACTCCTGTGACTTCGCGGACCCCTCGGGGTTCTTGGCGTCTGAGATGCGCACTCCCCCCCCCGTCTTCCTCCTCCTCTCACCCCCCATCTAACCTGAGTTGGATTCGACCCCCCGTCGCATGCGATCCTCTTCGTCTTCCTACCTCGTCGCCCTCCTCCCACCCCTGTCTCCGCTTGTCCTCGCTTCAGCTTATCTCCTCTACGTGTGTCCTCCTCCTCCTTCTCATCATCATCCATCCTGCGCCTTTCCTCTTTGGATGTTTGCTTTCTCTCATCAGTCCTCCACCTGCGTCCGCGCGCCTCCCCCCCCCCCCCCGCGCCCGCCCCCCCCCCCCCCCCCCCCCCCCCCCCCCCTATTTTTCACGCGCATTCTCCGGGGTTCTTTCTCCTCCCCCCCCCTCGCCCTCCTCGCCTTCATCTTCGTTGGCCCCTCTCCTCATTTTCCTCGTTCTTGCGCCTCTCTTCTCGCGGCTTCTGCATTTCCATCCTCTTCTTTGCGCCTCCATTCGATGGGTTTGCGATCCTCTGCTCCGCGCCATCCCCCCCCCTCGCCCCCCCCCCCCCCCCCGCCCCCGCCCCCCGCCCTCCGCCCCGCCCTTCTTTTCCTTTCGCATGTCCGGCCGTGCGCCCCGCGAAGCGCGAAGAGTGCTCTTTCCATTCCCTCATTTCAAGCATAATCGCGCCGAGGGCGAGCGTCTCCCCCAAACGTGCGAAGCGGCAAGCTTGCCGCGGGGCTGCGGTGGCGGGTTACGCGGCGGCGTGGAGCTGCAGCGAACGCAGGGCACAATGCGCGCCGATGGCCTCGCCAGGCCCCGCGTGCCAACGCGCGCATAACATGTCGCTCGCGCGCTGCGCC